CCCCCGCCACACCGGGCGGGCGCGAGCGCACGCCTGCGGTCCCCCCCCCCCCCACGCCCACCGGTGGCACGCCGCCCGCGAATGCCAGGACCACGTGTCCACTTTCATCACATGTGCATCATGCGCACATCGGCCCGCCCGGCGCCGAGGGGGGATTGCCGCGGCGGGGGCGGGCCGCGAAACACGCCCAAGAGCGAGGGGGTCCCATTCTTCTTGGCTTTCGCATCACAAGGGGAGCATGCATTACACGGGAAAGCCGACGAGGAGAAGGGCACACATTCTCCCACGAGCGGCATACTTTCAGCCTTGGCACCTTGGGGGGAGGGGGGGGGGGGGCATTGTCGCGTCCTTGTCCGGTGTGGCGCGGCGTGCGCCGGCCCCTTCTCTTGCCTTCTCGTGGTGTCGGATCGCCGGGCGCCCGGGCGCCTCCTCTTCCGGTGGCCAGCCAGCGGGCTAGGAACTGCCTGTGCGGCCGCGCCTGGCCGGGCGCGGCCGCGGGGGCGGCAATTCCTCCGCCGGCGAGGGATCCGCCTGCTTGGGCGCCGGCGGGGGACTCCCGGCGCGGCGCTTTTCCTGCTCAAGAGCCAGCTCGGCCAGGCGAGCGGCGGTGCCGCCGGTGCCCTCCTTCTGGTGGCGCAGCCACCGGATGTAGGTCTCAAAGGACTCGGCCGTCTCCTTGAGCCGGAGGAAGAGGCAGGCCACACAGCCGGGCCCGTCGAAGGGGCCCCACTCGGCCGGGCCCCGGGGGAAGGGACACGCACTGGACAGGGCCGCGGTGGCACCGCCGCTGGCCAGCTGGCACTCACACAGCAGCTGGTTGGACAGCGGGTCCGCCCGGCGGGGCCGAGGGAAGAGGGCGGTATGCGGGCGGGCCCCGGGGCCGGGGGCCGGCGCCGCGGCCATCGCCAACTCCGGCATGTCCCGCAGGATGCCCTTCCACCGGTCGATGGCGGTGAGCAGGGCGGCTCGGGCGTCGCGCAGAGCCGCCGAGTGCCCCTGCAGCAGGCGCATCTCGCCGGTGCTCAGCCGGGCCCCGGGGCAGATGATCGAGTGGGCCCAGGCCGACCGGCTGAGATCCACCCGGTCCGGTATGTCCACCGGCAGCCAGGACCGCTCGGTGGGCTCCGGCGCGTCGGCCGCCGGCACCAGGCAGGTGGCCGCCAAGCTCGGGCACCGGACATCCCCCTCCTCGGCCAGCGAATAGCCGGCCAGCTGCAGGACCTTGCGCTTGCGGAGCTCCATGTGGCCGAACACGCCGACCGTCCAGATGCCCAGGTCCAGGGCCTCGCGCTCGACCAGACGCAGGAAACCTCGCGCCGTGTTGGAGGCTGGGCCGGCAGCGGTCCGGGCCGTGGGTCAGAGAATGCACATGAAAGGGGGGCGAGCACCGAGGGCCGAGGCTGGCACGCACTGTGAGACGGTGTGGCGGCCGCACCTCCGGTCGAGGCGCTGCGCCGGGACAGGTCCAGCGAGAAGTGCCCTCCCGAGGGGACATTCGAGTGTGTGGTGGTGATTGCCGGCGCACCGGCCGGCGGCGGGGGCGGGGCCGGCGGAGCGACGAGTGGCGGGGGCGGCGGGGGCGGGGGCGGCGGGGGCGGCGGAGCGGG